CCGGGCCAGGCGGCGCTGGTGTGCGCCAGCGAGGTGGGCAGCTGGTCGTACTCGCAGCGCCACAGCCGCCAGCTGGGAGTCGGCGAGGCGGCGGGCAAGGCCGACCTCATGGTGTTCAGCCCCGGCTGCCCGCCCGCCGCCGCCGCCGGCAGTGCGGACAAGAAGACGGGAGGCGGCGGCGCCGGCCCGGATGGAAGCGCAATGGTGAGATGTCTTTATTCGCCTCTTTCCTTGCACGGCTCCCAGATTCTTTCCCCCAACCAAAGGTTTTTCTCTGAATCCCGCTATTGAGTGTCCAGCCTCCAGCCTTGATCTTTTAAGGCTGGCATGTTCCACAAAGGCGTTTTTCTGTCAAAGGCTGGTTTCTTCTTGACTATATCATACATATCTTTTACATCAAATGCAATTCCTCCTCCTCTTCTCCCCTGCCTATCCTTCCCGAACAGTTCATACTCACCCATGTGTGTGCTCCATTCATACGCGCTCCCACTGAGTCTGTTATTCCGAAACGTCATAGTTCCGTGACTATGCAAGGATTTCCATTTCTTCCTGCCAGTTTCCCAGGCTCGTGTACAGGCACCTAAGGTAACTAGCGTATTGCCCTGATTTCTCAGGAAGAATTTCAGAAGTCTGTACTATTAAAGTAATGTTTTCAAGATAGGCTTTGCAGTGCCATAGATTTTCCTTTAAAAAGAACACGGTGATAATCACTGCAATAGAATGTGCTTGATTAAGATAGTAGTAATGATGCTAAAACCTATCTCCTTGGCGGAGCTTCACATATTGATGATAGTGGTGATGCTGGTGAAGAGGAAGAACACTTAGTGGTGATGAATATAAAAAAAAATTCTGATTTTAATTTGAAGATTTATATAACCAATATTAGTATTACATTTTTAGTGGTTCGGTGGACAGCCCAATGGTTGCTTCCATCTTTCTTGGTTTTGTACAGCCTAATTTTTGTGACCTGTTATTTGTATGTATTTTATGATTTCTACAAATGTTTTTAGAACACTCCGTTTATTTTTTGTTCACAATGCACTAAGTCCTGTGGGGGAAAAAGAGAAGAGGAGATGATTCGCATGCAGAAGGGAGATGACTGTGAAAGGGGAAGGAGTTGGAAAGAGGTGCTTGGTGACCAGTCGAGACCCCCGTGTTTGATTTGCAGAGTACTCAGAACTGGGGCTAAAACCTATGGGAGTCTGTTTAAAATTTACAAAGGACTGTAGAAAGTTAAATTCTTGAAACTCGGTTTGTGGGCATCTTACAGACTACCACTAGTAGGCATTCTTCTCCCCGTCAAATATCAGGAAAACAGTGCCACAGAAATTCAAGGGGAATTATGAAGATAAAACCATTCGTGTTTCTAAGGGACTAATTAATTATGTGGAGGGCTCCACAGGGTGTTAGGAACTTAATATTAGGAGGTACTTACTTTTGCATTTTTGCAGGTTTGGATAATGTCCAGTGAATAATGCGTAGAGCACACGCTGCCCAATACAGGCAAGAATACTGAATAGTAACTATTCTGTGAATACCTTTCTTCTTGTGCATTGAATGAGACAGGCATCGTATAGAAAAATAGTACACGGTCATATAATCATAATTTATATTATAATGCCCTTGCACAAGGGAGCTGAATGCACATTGTGTGGACAATCTTATTCTGACATTTGCTACATGTTGTGTGTTTTTCTCTGAAAACCTAATATATATTTTAAAATTTATTTTATGAAAGTTATTTTGTTATATTGTTGGCTACAAATGTCCAGCTCGGGATCCTTAAAATTCTGGTTTATTAGGCGGATTGAAACACTGTAATGAAGTCAAATCATAAACCTTGGGGCTGGTGTCCCCCCCACACATGCACACACACAGTAGCGAGTTACAAGAGTTGGGTACACCTATCCCACAGGCGCTGGAGTCTGCCCTCGATGGCCAGTCGAGGCTTCTTCCAGGTGGTGTTATTCTCCAGAAGGGGGTCACTGGCTGGTCCTTCTGGCTGGACAGGTCGGGTGCTGGTCAAGTTGGAGATCAAGAGGGCGCCCCTGAGGGTCACTTTTCACTGTTTGATTCCTGCCCTTGTTAACATTGTTACAATGTATAACTTCTGAAATTAAACACATTTAATTAAAAGGTGAGGAGTATAAAATATAAGCTACAAAAGTAATGCCATGTCGTACAAATAGATAAAAATACCAAAATACAAGGGAAGATACAAAATACACACATACAAACTTTAAAACACAATTCTTTATCTTATACTGAAAGAAAGAGGAAGGAAGAAAAGGTAGAAGAGAAACATATCCAAAGAGGGGAGAGCAAATGCAGGGAAGAGGAAAAGGGGACTTTCTGCTACAATATATGTCAATAGGAATTTCCTTCCTCCTTTCATCTTTTTTGCCTGCTAGCAGGCTATAGGTGGTATTCCCTCCCCTTTTCTTTTCTCTGCTCTTACTCTTCTATGCTTCGAGGACAAGGCAGTTCAACCTGAAATGGGCTACCACTTGGTCGAGTTTATGGTGCCATAGGAGCTGGCTAGCAGCCAGCACCTCCCAACTCTTGTTGTACCCATTTTCTTGAGGTATACCATCAACATGTTCTCCATTACACCACAGGAAACTGTAATGAGCGCCTTTCCCTCCACAGCACGAGTTGGGGTTTAATATAGCTGGACCAAAAGGGCAGAGCACGGCATCTCACAGAGGTTTGTACTAACACTACTTCCTATTATAGTCGCATCACAAGACTGTTTCCCGGTGCCGGTGCGAGACCACGGCAAAATGGCACTGTGCCCCATGGTCATGTTCAGCCAGTTGCTGGTAAACAGCATCCAGGCCTGGGCAACAGTGTTGGGGCGGCAGCCAGGGGTTGCGGAGCTACTGCAGAGAACGAGGCGAAGGAGCGGGAGCCCAACGACATCTCAAATGCCTCTGGCCCCATGTTGACATCCGGAGTTCGTTATACACTGGCTAATCCCCACTGTCCAGACTGCCTCGGAAAGTACAGGCTGTCCGACCCCCGTCCTCCACAGGCTATGAACCCAGAACTGAAGGAGTGAGGACGCTCCGCCATTGGACACCTCAAGAGCGAGGAGTGGGGGAAGAGTGCCTCCCAAGCTCTCTGGCATATGGATCTCCATGTTTGGAGCTGGCGGTCTGGAAGAGAATGGACTGGACTTCATATTGGGCCCAGCCTCAAGAGCCCCAGGGAGCCAGTCTGGACATACCCGCGGGGCAGCGGAGTGTACTAATCACTAAATGGTAGGGGAACAAATTCAGCGTTCTGGACCGATTGCTCCAGGCTCTCCGCAGCCTGATCTTTGCTTCTGTTGTGTTACTTTCCTTTCATACCTCCTGGCTGTATCTGTATCTGGCGGTATCCCTAATATAGACAGTTTTCCTCATTGGAAATGGAATTATGTAGAACTAGACAATATCCTCAAGGAAGTGCCGTTGTCTGTTATTGGCACACATTGGCCATATCTAAGTCTTCATTTTCACTTTGAAGTAAAATTAGTATTTTACCATTTTTATCATCATTTTATCAGAAAGCCAATACTTTATGATAGGTTTTGTTGGGGCGGCAAAATGGGAATACTTTTACATTACCTTTTACTGCCTGGTCCCTCTTTCTCGACTATAGTCATCAGTCGCTAACCCACTGATACATTCTGGCTAGGAATTATGAATGTATCTGGTTCATTGCACAGTAGGCGCCTTAAAGCATAAAACTCCTATGCAAGGAACACAGTTCCTTAAAGGAGGAGGTGATTGCAAAATGCATCGAAGTGCTCAGTCAGACTATGCCTAACCTAAGCGTGTTTTTCTGTTTCCACTTCTAGTTAAGGGCCCAATCCGATGCTTGCTGAAGATAATAGAAAAGGTTCCCCACTAACTTCTGTGGCTGTTGGATCAGAGCTAGTTTGAACACTTCTGTAACAGCTCTTTAGGAGATCCAGGTTCTCCAGATGTCATTTTTCTTTGAACGTCCAAACTGAAAACTAACAAATTTGAGTTTTTTTCCAAACAACCTTACTTTTGAAACATAAATTCTCGCTCCCCTTTATCGTATACGTATGGTAAAACCCCGTGTAATCTTTCCGGTCACCTCACTACTCGAGGGAGGGAGGCCTGTATTGTATAAACAAGTTACGAGAACATCAAGAAGTCTGATGTATATATTGTTCTTGCAATACACCGAATACACCCCTGTTTTTAATCCTGCCAGGTTAAATTAGGTGGATTATTTTTTAATGTTGGTGTCAGAGACTAAAAGCTTTTGGAGGCAGTTTTCTCTGCCATTGTTCAAGGAGGCAATGGCAGCATGCATGCATTTAAGAGAATTTCAGGCGGAAACCTTGTGTTAATTGAAGCATTCCTTCCTTCTGCTGTAAGAGAAGGCGTGAGCGTTTGTTAGAGTTGGGAGAATCTTTCCGGTGCAGAGACCTTTCTGTAAGGGCCAATGTTGCAGGACAGCCTGGAATGGAGAAGAGTTGAGAGGGATCGATGCTGAGGACCACCTGCTAATATTGTAAAAGACCTCACAAAACATTTACAGTCCTTCAAAGTGCCGGAGTTTGGAGAAAGATTACTTTTAACAATTCTGTCTGTCGCTGCCATTCCTCCTAAAACAACATCTTCCCACAAGCTTCCATTCTATGTCTGCGTTATTTCAGTCCCTTTAGGCACGCCGCTAGTATCGACAGGCAGGACAGCACATCCTGATTATCATAGAAGGTGTTCTTGAGCCAAACTCTACTCTTCTGGTACTACACATAGGAAGGTGGAATCATCCTTGCCACTTCCAAGAAGAATGGCAATGAAAGGGAATGATGATAAGGGAGAACAGTGGATCTCAAATACTTTTTTAAAGCAGTGACCATAGAATATAACCCGACCTTACACCAAACATGGAAGATCTTACTGTCGGTGGGTTTTATTTCAATCCGTCCCAGAGCAGACGGAATAACCACGCTACGATAGGATTCCACCGAGATCCACCCCAAGTAGTTGGGGCAGAACTGCGTCGCCGGGCAAGAGCTCTCAGACGTGGGAATGGACAATTGGATCTGAATGGAGGAGAAGGATTCGACACTGGCGTGTTGAGAAATCTCTACAAGGCCTCTCGGAGCGTCCAAATAGTTCCTCTCACTTGGGCACCGATGCAGAACAATGCCGACTGGGGACAGATCCTAAAACAACTGGCGTAGCATGCGGTGGGGAAAAGATGAGGCGGAAGAAAGCTACTGGCAGCTTTCCATTGCGTAACACCGCCTTGTTGAAAAGGGGAAACATTTCGTGAATGTTCAAACGTTTCCTTTCCAGAAAACAGCTGCTTCACAGGGAAGCTAGCGTTGAAGGAAACATTTGCAATTTTCCTTGTTAGCCGGAATAGGCGAAAGTCCAGTTCAGGAAGCGAAAATGGAAACAAGTGACCGGAAGCTGGATGCGGCAGGTGGAAAGCAGAGTGCCCAGAGTTGAGTCTTCCCACTGCCCAAGGAAATGGAAGGGAGGAGTCTTCCTAGGGAAGAATGAGAAGCGGTGTGAGTGGGATATGCCCAGTAAAGCCCGGCCATGTGCAGGAAGAAAGAGCGGGCCTTGTGTAGCTCTGCAAGCCGATAACGCACTCCTGGAGCGGTTGGCCGCAGCGTTGCAACTCGAAGGACTCAGATGGAGTCCGAGTGAAGTGGAGAAGCGGCTGGGGGCTGGTTCTGGCAACAGCCTCAAAGCCTCCCGCGCCATCGGGCCGGGCCCGTATTGCACAGCGATGTGCACTGTGCTTGCTCAGCCTGGGCAGGGACGATGGTGGAGGGGAGCGCAGAGGTGGCTGTATTGCATTCCCGGGAAGTCCCGAATCGGATGAGGCTGAAGTTGGTTCCTTATTCCAGGCTCCTGGCGCCTAATGAGAGCAGCGGGAGTTTGCGCTATGGCGAGCTGGAGGGAAGCAGGTAGGGAATGTTACCGTTTAAAGAGTCAGCCCCCGTTGTCTCGGCATTTCTAGTCAGCCCCTTCCCACGTGCCCTGCGCTAAGGTCCCACTGGAGGAGCCAGGGTCGGTCACCCATCAAGCCCAATGCTCAGTCCCATAAAGAGGAGGGAAAAGCAGCTTTGTAGAGGGTCTGTACTAGTGCTTTTAGGGAAGGAATCCTCCCTCGGTCCCGCCTTATGGGCGTCCTTCTTCAGCCAGTCCCCTGGCTGCAGCCAATGGACTCCGCTGGTTGCTAGAAGCACATGCATATTCTCTGAGAGCCCAATAAAGTAGTGGAGGACCCTATCTTTGCCTTGCCTCCCACCATTGTTGTCGTCCCCGTGCCATCCAAATCCTGCATGTGGGATCTTCTGTCGTGGCGTCCTCCTTGCGCTTGGGGTCGTTATGCTGACTGCCCTCTGCCCCGCACCTTCAGTTCCGTGGCGCACAATTCGCTGGTGGGTCGTGTGTCTGCAGGCGCAGCCTGAGGTCGTTCACAGCCGGGAGAACCCACTGCCGGGAAAGGAAAAGAAGGAACATTTCCCGTCCACGGGAAACGCGGCGGCGGCAGCGAAATCCGGCGCGGCGGCTACTGCTGTAAAGCGGTACAAGTCGGGCAGCGGCTTCCTGCTGGCTGCGGCCCCTGTAGGGACCCTGGCTTCATTCTCAGGGGAACCGGTCTGATGTGGTCACTCATCCCCTTCTCCCACCTCCCTCCGCCCGCACGGACAGGAAACCTTCGGTGTTTAGAGATCTGAGAACGTCCTTCGCCGATGCCATTTCAACACCTCGCCCCCCACCAGGACACAGACCGGGGAACCTAGGCTCTCGCTAAGACAGAGCTGCTTAGCGAAACGAGGACCAGCTCTCCTTTTCTGCGGAAAGATGCCTACAGCCTTTCCTTTTGAAATAGGACTCTATAGATATAAAGGAAAAGGTTGATTTTTCCAACCGTCAGAGGAGTACCGGGTGGGAAGGGAGTGCACAAACAACAAAAACGTTAATAAATATATTATAATTTAAATTATGAACAGCGTTTACACAGTGGGAACCCGTTAATGAATTTTCAGTAGAGAATAGCACAGTAGTCTGAATTGGGATGGACATCACCGTGATCTACAGGACAAAAGGAAACAGAAAGACCGGTGCAATTTCCAAATGGCATTTACATGTTGGGACACAGGGTGTCGCTGTTCTCCACAAAAAAATCCTTAGTGGAAAGGAAAACAGCAGCTCCTCCCAGATTTCGAGCTGACAGATCCGTCAAAGTGCAGAGGAGGATGGCGAAATAATACCAGAGGTTCCGGGCGCCGATGTCCTGGATTGGAACCGGCTGGCGGGGATTTATGCAAGTATTCTCGTGTCTCACCAGCCACGCAAGAGCCATTTGGTGTAACACGGCTTGGACCTGCCATGTCGGCGCCCAGACTAGGCGGCCCGGCGGGGAGGCAGCTGCTGCGGCTGGGGGTGGCG